CCCGGGGTCCTGACCACCAGGAGAGCTGATGCTGAGAGTTCCTGTTGGAAGGCAGCAAGGACCAGGAGCAGCTGACGCTTCAGTCCAAGTCTGAAGGCTAGAAACACCGATGGCCCAGCCCCAGCCCCAGCAGCCAGCAGAGAGTTCCCTCTCATTCAGCCGCTCTATCCTAGTCAGGTCTTCAGCTGATTGGATGGGGCCACCTACACGAGGGAGGACAAGCTGTTTTACTCCGTCTGCACACCCAGAATCGTGTTCGGTCAGATGTCTGGGCCGCCGTGGCCCAGTCCAGCCGACACATAAAATTAACCCTCTCACCCAGGCTCCCACCGAAGGGAAGCTAGGCTTCTGAAGCTGGTGACTTCCTTTGCACCGTGCCCTGAGCTGTCACCTGCTGAAAGCAGAATTGCCGAGGCCTGAGTAATATCCCGTCCTATGAGGATCGTGTGGGCTGCTGAAGGGCAGTGGGTTTCTGACATCTCAGCTCTCAGGGAACTCAAGCGCTGCTGGGAATAGTGCAAAGAGCGTGGGCTTTGGGAAGGGTAAGTCTGAGGTTCAAACGCTAGTTCCACCTCTATTAGCTAGTTCCACCTCTATTAACTAGTTCCACCTCTATTAGCTAATTCCAGCTCTATTGGCTAGTTCCACCTCTATTGGCTAGTTCCACCTCTATTGGCTAGTTCAACCTCTATTGGCTAGTTCCACCTCTATTGGCTAGTTCCACCTCTATTAGCTAGTTCCACCTCTGTTGGCTAGTTCCACCTCTATTGGCTAGTTCCACCTCTATTGGCTAGTTCAACCTCTATTGGCTAGTTCCACCTCTATTGGCTAGTTCCACCTCTATTAGCTAGTCCCATCTCTGTTGGCTAGTTCTACCTCTATTAACTAGTTCCACCTCTATTGGCTAGTTCCACCTCTATTGGCTAATTCCACCTCTATTGGATATGTGACCACAAGGGAGTCACCTCCCCTCTCTGATTGTTTCTTCCTCTATGGAATACTCGTAATGCTCCCAGGCAGGGCTGATGTGAATATGAGAGAGGTGGACAGAGGACTTGCACACCGTGGGCACACAGCTCACTATTATGTTATGATTCTCTTAAAGGGACCAGAGTTTCTGCACGGAGCTAGCCGAGCTTTTGGCTTCACCCCATCCGTGTGATTTTGCCCCAGTTTGACCTCCATGTCCTCAATGCGTCTGCAGCCTCCCGGTCCGAGGGGCAGTGCCCGGGCTTCCAGGAAGAACTTGGCCTGGGCATCTGAGTGGTGGCAGACTCTGGGAAAACAGGGCACTAGGACTAAGATGGCTAAAAGGAGCAGAACCCTCCTCTTCCCTTTCCTGCCTTCTCTTACTCAGACAAGCTAGATCACCAGAAGCGCAGGGCAGACCCGTACCCAGAAAGCAGACAAGGACACACTTCAGCATTCAGGGGCACATGGAGCTGCTCAACTCACCATATCTCATTCTGAACTTCCGCTCAATCTCTCAGCCCAAGGACCAAAGGCCCCAAGATGTTTTCCCAGGAGCAGAGCTGAACCAGGGCGGCAAAACACCCTGAGACAGGAAGAAAAAGCTGATGAGCTCCTAATTGCCATTAAATTATAGATACATATAGGTATTTAAAGTCGAATCTGCATGTCTAATGTGATTTTTTGGATTGCATTTTCATCACCTGGCTGGGATGGGGCACAAAGAAGGAGGGTTCCGTCACCCTTTGGCGGGAGGGAAGTTGTCAACAGGGCTGCAGGCAGGCTGCTGGGTGAGGCCACATCCCCATGAGGACGGAGAGGGGAGAGGGGGAAGCTGCTCTGGAAACAGCCAGGCCAGGAAGGAAGCTGGGTGTGTCTTTGAGGTGACACTGCCTCCCACCAAAGCCCCATTGTGTCTAGATGGCCAAGTCCATCTGGCTTGTGACCAGAAGAATGCCTTCTTCCTTGGACCTCCACATAGCTTTCGTTGGGGTGGTGAGCACACGATACAATGAACAGATGCTATAAATTGTACACCTGCAATCTGTGTGATTTTACTAACCAGGCTCATGCCAATCAATTCAACAACAAAAATTTTTAAAGAATATTTAAAAAACAGCTCCCCAATTTTGGCTCTTTGGGTCCAGATGTCACCTTCTCCCGGGGTTGCCAAAGGCCCCTCCCAGAAGCTGGTGATGGAGCAGATTGCACACTCATTCGAGCCAAGAGTCCTGGCTCTGCCACTGAACTATGACCTTGGACAAGACCCTTCTCCAATGAAGGAGTTGGACTGGCCGTCCTCAGATGTCTCCTCTGGGTCCCGTGGGCCCGATCTGTGCCCTGCTCATTTTAAAGAGCCCGCTCTCCAACAGGGGAGCAGGAGGCTGCACGCTCCTTTGCCAACTCTCTCACCAGGCCCTCCTGCTTTCCCACGGGAATCCCCCTGCTGCCACCTGAGCCGGCGTGGCTTGCTTCTCTCCTATCAGAGGAACTCCTCAAAGAGTTGAAGGCCGTTCGCAAAACCTCTTCCACACACATGCACACACATTCTATTTTTAAGTAGCATTTACTTCTGACTAAAAGTAAGACTGTACCTGCTCAGTGCAGAAAAAGTGGAAACAGACAAGTATGAAAGAGAAAATAGAAACCGCCCGCAATCCTCCAAGTGAGAACCACTATTAATGGGTTTCCTTAAATGCGTGTATTTGTGGGTTTAGTTTTCTCTGTTATAAAGCTGGGATTAGGCTGCAAATGTGACTTTCGAGGTGACCTGGGCCAGGTTCTTCCTTCTGCGGGTCTGCTGCTGCCTCTCGGGCGACTTCCCCTCTTGCTTTTCCCGAGAGGAGGGGACCTTGTGGTGGGGATGAGTGTCCACCTCGGTGTGTGGGCCCCTGGGTGGCCCGGAGTTTAATTTTGACCACTTCTGAGTGTGTGTGTGTGTGTGTGTGTGTGTGTGTGTGAGTGTGTGTCACAGAGGCAGAGGGAGGGACAGATAGCACACGGGCCAGTGTGTGTGTATGTGTGTGTGTGTGTGTGTGTGTGTGTGTGACAGAGGCAGAGGGAGGGACAGACAGCACACGGGCCAGTCACTGAGCAGAAGCCTACGCCAAGGGCCCACCCAACAGGAGATCGTAAGGCATGATCACGGTCCCGTGTGATCAGTCTTCGGCTCTTTGTCCCAGCCAGCGACAGGCCAGCAGCAGCTGGAGCTCCTTGCTCATCTAATCAATTTCTTTCATTTGAGAAAGGAAGACAAATTCGAGATTTGCAGCCCATCCTGAGGAGGGTTGTTGGCTGAGGCATCAGAGTCAGACCCCGCCCACCAGCCAGGCTCCACTTGGGAGGGAGTCTTCCTCTCCATTCCTAAGTAACCTTTACCCGCCAGCACTGGGGGCAGGGGGAGGGTGTTCAGGTCTGAGAAGGCTTCTTGGCGGAGGTGACACTTGAGTAAGGCCTTTACGGATGCTTTAGATTTGGAGCAGCAGCGGGGTGAGGGGCCCCCAAATCACCCAAGGCGTGCTGCTGTGACAGACCCAGAATCCTGGCCTTGGCACCCTAACAGATGAACGCATTGTAAACCTGTACCCTGAAAAGAGGCTGAGAATGGAGGGATGGACCTAGTTCCCAGGAAAAGTGCCCACGTGGCCCCTGCCCCTCTCCACTCGGTCACCACCAACTTCCTTTGAAGGCGGGGAATGGGACACAGGCTCCACTGGCGGCTCCTTCCCCCTCCATGTGCAGACGGGGTTTCGCTCTTTGGAGAGAGAGTCAGGAGTCTCTGCTAATACAGATCAAGCCTCTGCGGTTAGTGTGTCTTCTTTAGGGGGCCGCAGAGGGGAAGTTTAATTATTTCATTGCGAGGAACCGTGCGGATTACGGGAGGAGTCCCGCCCCTGCCAGGCCTCTCTCCCTTCTGCTTTCCCAGTTCCTCTCCCCCCCCCCCATAACCCCCAGCTCACTCTGTTCATCTTTGTTTTCCTATTTGCATCTCTATCCCCGTCCCCACCCCCAGTTCCTCTCTGATCTCTCCCCTGTCCTAGTCTCTTTGTCTCTGTTTCCTTCCTTCCCCTCACCCTCTTGTTTCCCACTTTCTCTGGGCTAATGGCAGCCCCCTCTCTACCCGGACAGACTGTCTAATTGAAATGAAGCACTCCAGAGAATGTTAATAGGAAAGACAGCATTAATTAGCCAGCTCTGGCATAATTAGCTTCCTTCTCTCACTGCCTGACATCTAACCGGATAATGAGTCTCTCTCCATCCAAACAGAGGGCAGGCAGGACAAGGGGGACAGGCCCTGCCCAGGGATGCCTGGAGGCCTCCTTGCCTTCAGGCCACCCTGCCCTCTCCTGCCAGGCCCCCCTCTCCCCCCTGCTGCTTGTTCCCAAGTCAGAGGGAGACAGATGCCTGGCCCCTGCCCATGCCCAGAGGTTTGCTGTTGCTGGAGCTGCATGCTAAGTGGTCTGAGCCTGACAAACAGTGGTTGCAGCTGCAGCGTCCCAGATGGGGCGGGGGGTGAGAGGAGTTCTTGGGGAGAGCCGTGACCCGCATCTGGCCCCGGCACAGCTGCATGGGCAATGGCTGGGCACCTCATGCTCCCCAAGGGGGAGCAAAAAAAATCTGTTTATGTGACAGAAAAGAACGAAAGTACTACACAGACTGCAGAGCGCGTCCACCCTGCCCCTGTCCCCCAATCGTGTGAGGCAGGAATGGCCATCTCTCTTTTACAAAGACTCTGAGGTTCAGAGAAGTCCACTGTCTCGCCAATGCTCACACTGCCAGGTCCCAAGCTGGGGTCTATCTTGTTCCAAAGATCAAGTTCTTTCCCTCTGCCTTCATTCTTCTAGAAGGTACTCTATAGTTGCTCAATATATGTTTTGTGCACGTGTGGTTGGGTTCAGTTCCATGGAACTGAACTGCTCGATGCAATTCCACTGCAGTGTTTGTTCTTGGCTATGATGGAGCAGGGCTAATGCCCAGGGGCATCCTCCTCCCGCCCTGTCCAGTCTGCTGACCCTCTCCCTCCTCCGTAGGCGATGGACTCAGAGGATGACCCGTTGTTGCAGGATGTGTGGCTCGAGGAGGAGCAGGAAGACGAGGAAGCAACGGGCGAGGCTTTTCGGAGAGCCCAGAAGCCGGGCCCCCATGCTGGGGCGGAGGGGCAGTGTTGCTGGCGCGGCTGGACCTTAGCCTCCCGGCCGCCAGCCTCCGGCTTCTGGAGCACCTTGGGCTGGGCCTTCACCAACCCGTGCTGCGCGGGGCTGGTGCTCTTCCTGGGCTGCAGCATCCCCATGGCCCTGTCGGCCTTCATGTTCCTCTACTACCCGCCGCTGGACATCGACATCTCCTACAATGCCTTTGAGATCCGCAACCACGAGGCCTCCCAGCGTTTCGACGCTCTGGCTCTGGCTCTGAAGTCCCAGTTTGGTTCCTGGGGGCGGAACCGGCGCGACCTGGCGGACTTCACCTCCGAGACGCTCCAGCGCCTCATCTCGGAGCAGCTGCAGCAGCTGCACCTCGGCAACCGCTCGCAGAGGGTGGCCAGGGCCCCGCGCGCCGTCCCCGCGGTCCCAGGCAGCGGCACCGCCCGGAAGCCAGCAGCCAATCAGAGCGGACGTCTTCAAGACGCATCGACGCTGGCAGGTGTGGCAGCCAACCAGAGCGAAGCCCCGGTGAACCAGGGGCGGGACAAGAGTGGGCGGGGCCGGCTGGGTACCCCGCCCACGCTGGCCAATCAGAGCCGCGCCCGCCGGGGCGCCTCGCGGTGGGACTATTCTCGCTCCTACGTGAGCGCCAACACCCAGACGCACGCGCACTGGCGCATCGAGCTCATCTTCCTGGCCCGGGGCGACGCGGAGCGCAACATCTTCACCAGCGAGCGCCTGGTCACGATCCACGAGATCGAGCGCAAAATCATGGACCACCCGGGCTTCAGGGAGTTCTGCTGGAAGCCCCACGAAGTGCTCAAGGACCTGCCGCTCGGCTCCTACTCCTACTGCTCCCCGCCCAGCTCGCTCATGACCTACTTCTTCCCCACGGAGCGGGGCGGCAAGATCTACTACGATGGCATGGGCCAGGACCTGGCGGACATCCGGGGTGAGCAGGACAGGGAGTGGGGAGAGATGGGGTCTGCAAGGGGCAGGGTTTGAAGCAGCCTCAGGGTGGGCCTCGTAAGGAATGGAGCCTGAATGAGACCGGGAACAGGGTCTGGAGAGGCTGATTGGAAGGGTTGACTCTTGGTTCAGAACTTAAGGGGCTGGAAGGAGGAGGATGGGAAGGGGCTTGGCTGTGAGACGGAGCAGGGCTGGGACTGAGCGCCACGTGAGAAAGGGTTGGTAGCAGGGTTGGGTGTGAGATCTGAGATCCAGGGCAGGCAAGGAAGGAGGTTTGGGCACACACCTGGATTGAGGGGGTTGGGAGTTAGTCTATGAGCTTTGGAGTTAGCTGAGCTTCAAACAAAAATGAAAATGTCAACTAAGTGGGAGCTGCCTGGAGGGTAGGCTCAGTCTCTGCAGTCCCGCCTTCATCTGCCTAGAACCTGCCCACGCCCCCCTTAAACCATCCTTCTGCCCCATTAGGAACAGTTTGAGGCTGCTTGAGGGGTAGTTTCCCATCTCCTTCGAAGGGGCGAGGTGTTGAGGGAGGAGGATGACCCTGATGCAGGGCTGATGGGAGTTGACCTGCTGAGCTCTCTACCACCCCCCCCCACCCCCCCCACCTCTGCACCTGCAGGTTCCCTAGAGCTGGCCATGACTCACCCCGAGTTCTACTGGTACGTGGACGAGGGCCTGTCTGCGGAAAACCTCAAGAGCTCCCTCCTGCGCAGTGAGATCCTGTTCGGAGCACCCCTGCCCAACTACTACTCTGTGGACGATCGCTGGGAGGAGCAGCGGGCCAAGTTCCAGAGCTTCGTGGTCACCTACGTGGCCATGCTGGCCAAGCAGTCTACTAGGTAGGCGGTCCGGCCACACCCACGTATGCGCCTGCCCATGCGTACACCCGGGAAGGGCTATATCAGGATAGAGAATTGGTTCCCAGGTGCCTCTTTCCCATAATCCCCAGATCCTCCTCCCTGCAACCTTTTTCCTAGGAAGTCTTTCCAAATCAGGGGCAGAGCCGGAAATATTCTCCCTATCCCTCTGACAGGTCAGAGGCTCCTCTTCTTGATCATCACTGATGGTTAGTGAGCATGACAGCTCTGGAGGAGGTAGGAAATCCCAGCACTCTTGCCCTGGAGGTTTTGGGTATTGATTTTTTTTTTTTTCTCTTTCCTGCAACGGTGCTTAAGGCGTTTCTGAACAGAGTATTAACCAAGGATTGAGAAGTTCCTTTCTTCCTCTATATCCAGGAAGCTAGTTGACAAATCACTTCACTCCTCTGGGCCTCAGTTTTCCGACTTGTGTAATGGGGATGGTGTGTTCTGCTGCCCTTCTAGAGTCAGGAGGAGATGAGCTAAGATAGTGGTCGGCAAACCGCAGCTCGCGAGCCGCATGCAGGTGGCTAGCCTCGGTTTGCCGCTCTGTTGACTAATGAGTTTGCCGACCACGGACCTAGACTCTGGATTCCGATAATTACAGGCTGTTGTTGTTCCTTGTGATTAAGCTCCTATCCCAGTGGTCGGCAAGTTCATTAGCCAACAGAGGGTCAGACCGCAGCTTTTCGAGCTGCCTGTGGCTCGTGAGCCACAGTTTGCCGACCACAAGCTAAGGGCTTGGACCGTGGGTACTTTGGGTGATGGGTGCTTTGGTTGTCCTCCAAGTCTTGGGACGTGTGTCTGAGACTACAGCTGGGCCCTTCCCCACCAGCAAAGGCATTGGATAGTTCATCTGTCGGTCCTGCTGGGCAGTAACCCCAATGCCTTGTGCAGTCCCCTGCGCACGTTCCTCCCATGACTCTCACATTACAGGAGTAGCTACTGTCATCACCAGAGCTAACATTGGCAGACTTTCTCTCTGCCACACGCTGTTCTAAACCCTATATGCACAGCGTCTCATTTAATTCTCACACCAACCCACTGAGGCAGGTGCTGTTACTATCATCTCTGTTTTACCATGGAGGAAACTGAGGCACACCGCCATGAAGTAAGCTGTCCAAAAGATGGGATGTGGTTAAAGGCCAGGCTTTCTCATTCAGAGTCCCCACCGTGTGTTTCCTGTGCCAGCTGCTGCATTAGGCGCTCCTCCCAGCCCTGCTCTGTGACAGGCAGACCTCTGTGCCTCCTCTAACATCCAGCCTGGGAAGTTCTTCCCTGAGGCTTGGACTAAATGCCCTTCTCCCCCCGCCACAGCCCCCCTCCTTCTCCCTAAGGGAGGCAACAAAGAGCATACACAGGCTTTGGAGTTTGATATATCTGCAGTCAGATCCCAGGTACTCCACTGAGCTGTGGGAGTTTCAGAGAGTCATTTCACCTCTCTGAGCTACAATGTCACCATGGCCCTGGCCCACCTGTATTTTAGTCGTCTAAGTCCTTGTCACTCAAGGTGCAGTCCTCAAATCAGCAGCACCCGCAGCACCTGGGGCGTGTTCAAAATGCAGAAGCCTTTCCTACACCTACAGGATTTCCAGGTGTCTTGTTTGCACATTAACGTTTGAGGAAGTTCTGGCTTAATTATGTCTCAGTAGAGGGTGAGTTTGTTGAGGACTGGGATTGATCCCAACTCATTTCACTAGGCCAGTGGTCGGCAAACTCATTAATCAACAGAGCCAAATATTAACAGTACAACGATTAAAATTTCTTTGGAGCCAAAACCGGTTTGGCTCAGTAGTAGAGCGTCAGTCTGCGGACTGAAAGGTCCCGGGTTCGATTCCGGTCAAGGGCATGTACATTGGTTGCAGGCACATCCCCGGTAGGGGGTGTGCAAGAGGCAGCTGGTAGATGTTTCTCTGTTATCTACGTTCCTAACTCTCTCTCCCTCTCCCTTCCTCTCTGTAAAAAATGAATAAAATATATATTAAAATTTCTTTGGAGAGTCAAATTTTTTAAACTTAAACTTCTTCTAATACCACTTCTTCAAAATAGACTCGCCCAGGCTGGGGTATTTTGTGGAAGAGCCACACTCAAGGGGCCAAAGAGCCATATGTGGCTTGCAAGCCTCAGTTTGCTGACCACTGCTCTAGGCTTAGCCTCTTGCACAGTGCCAGGAACACCTTAGCAGGGATTTGTCTCAGGGAGGGAAAGAAGGAGGAAGGAGCCCTGGGTAAAGGTACTTGCCTGGGTTAGGAAGCTGAGAGGGGCTGACTGTAGAAGGAACTTCAGGGTTTCAGATACCAACACCTATGCCTGATGCATTCAGCTGTTGAGGCTACACCCCCTGCTCTGGGTAAAACGACTCTCTCTCCCTTCCTGTCCACCCAGAGCTTCATGGGAGTAGGGACAAGCAGGACCCTTGTAGACTTGACTTAGCCCCTTCCTTTGATTAATAAAATCTTTTTTATTATTCTATTATTGGTTACCCAAGAGATGGTGCACCTTGACTTATTACGGAATAATACAAATTGTCACTTTTACTACTTCCATGATAATATTAGAATCTTAGAACACAGTTCACTGCATTTACAACCCTTCAGCCTTTTGCATTTTTGTTGCATGCATTTTAATTCTATATACATTTAAACCTCATAAGACATTATAGTATTATTTTACTGAGTCGGTTTTCATTTATATTTTACTCACATATTTACCTTTTCTGTTGCTCTTCATTACTTTCTACAATTTTATGTTTCCCCCTGGGATAATTTTCCTTATATCTGAAGAACTCTCTTTAATATGTTTTTTAGTACAGATTTTCTGGTGACAAATTCTCCCTTGTTTGCCGAGGAAACTTCTTTGTTTTACTTTTATCTTTAAAGTATATTTCTACTTGTTTCGAATTATAAATTGGCAGTTATTTTAATACTTTAAAGGTATTGATCCATTGTGTCCTGATTTCCATCATTTCTGGGGAAAAGTCAGCTGTCCATCTTTTTGTTGCCCTTTGAATGACTGTCCTTTTTCCCATGTCTGCTTTTAAGATTTCTCTTTGTCTTTGGTTTCACCAGTCTTAGAATGATTTATGTTGGTGTGGTTTTTTTTGTTCCGCTTGGGGTTCACAGAACTTCTTGAATCCATGGGTTGATAACTGGAATCGGTTTTAGGAATTTCCTGGCTATTGTCTCTTCAAATATTGCCTCTGCCTCACTTTCTGTTTCTTTTCCTTTTAGGATTCTAATTGCATGAATGTTAGCTCTTTTCACTGAGTTTCAAGTGCTCTTCTCTAGTTTCTTTTTTCTTTCTTTTATGTTTTGGTTTAGATGTTCCAGTTCACTGACCCATCTTCTGTTGTATCTAATCTGCCATTTATGTGGCTAACTCCTGGTGCTCCTCAAGTGTTAACACCCATCTCTAATCCACTTCCATCTTTCTCTCTCCGTGTCCCTTCCTTCCCACAGCAAAGTCCAGGTTCTTTATGGGGGGACAGACCTCTTTGATTATGAGGTGCGCAGGACCTTCAACAACGACATGCTCCTGGCCTTCATCAGCAGCAGCTGCATCGCCGCCCTTGTTTACATCCTCACCTCCTGCTCAGGTAGGGCTTCTCTGAAGGTCTTGTCTCCTCCCAGTGTGCTCCTGTCTGGACAAAGCCTTGCTTCTTAAGATGCCAGAAATACTCTTCTATCCTTCATGTCAGAGCTACTGGGGAAGGGTGCTTAGAAATCACTTTCTAGTCCCAGGCAGGTAGGCCTTACCCAAGGGCCCCCACTCCTGGGACTTTACACAGTTTAACCTTTTGCCCTTTGACCATATGTTCTTGCTAGGAACCTTGTTTGGAGGAGTCTGGAGTATTGGAACCTTATTATGGATTATTCTGCAGACTGTTTTAGTCCCAAATCAGCCACATTTCTGTCCCCCAATATACTTTGCCAATGCTACCTTCCCATGCACCCTAGTTCTTCATTCTATGTATTCAGTAGAAACTCTCTATTGCCCAAATGAAAATGAAAAAGACATTCATTCATCCATATAACAAATATTCACTGGGCACCAACTATGTGCCTGATGCTCTGCAGTGTTTCCCAAAGTGTGGTACTCGTACCCGCAGGGGTACAGGAAGAGTTTGGTGGGGATACGCATTGCACCAGAGTTTGGTGGGGATATGCACTGCACCGTGCTTAGCTGCGCCTAATTCTACGTTCTCATGTGTATGAGGGGTACTCAATGTTACGAAAATTATAGAAGGGGTACACATATGTCAAAAGTTGGGAAAACTAAGGTTTCAGATATCCAGTGATAAACATCATACTGCCTATCCCTAAGGGGCCTTTGCCTACTGGGATGGCAGGCACAAAACAAATATGTCATGTTTGCAATTTCCCGCTGGCCCTTGAGATAAGTTCTGCAGAGATGAGGGCCCTTGAGCGAAGTGCCTTACTCAGAGATGGCTTCCTCTGCCACTCAGGTCTCTGGTTTAGCCCCTTCTCTGGGTGTGGAGAACTCTGCTGGGCATGGAGGGGGTGCTGAGAGTACTCCATGGGGGGGGGGGGCAGGTGTGAGGCAGGACCAGCCACGGTCAGGGACACTAAAGAGGGTGTGTGTTCCATGGGGTCCCCCCCACTGTATTCCCTGTCCCCTTGCCCCACCCAGTGTTCCTGTCCTTCTTCGGGATCGCCAGCATTGGCCTCAGCTGTCTGGTGGCACTCTTCCTGTACCACGTGGTCTTCGGTGTTCAGTACTTGGGCATCCTCAACGGCGTGGCTGCCTTCGTGATAGTGGGCATTGGTGAGTTGCCTCCGTTGCCACAGCGATGGGCTTCCCACTTGAGAACGCTGCCCCAGGAAGGGCCTTGTCCCTGGCTGCGAAGCGTGGCTTCTGTGGAGTCTCCAGAAAGTCCCTGTCAGTCCTCGAAGCCTTGGAGTGAGATGTGTGGTGGGAGGTAGAATATGGGTGACGAGCAGAGTCCTAGCATATGGTGGTGGAACCCCAGAGGGTGGAAGGAGCAGGCGAGATGCCGGATAGAGGTTAAGAATGGCGGGGGAACAAAAAGGTAGACACAGAGGCAGTAAAGCATCAAACAGAATGTCAAATTACAGCGGGAAGATTAGGGAGAGGTGGGGGAGATAAGAGATCAACCGAAGGACCTGTATGCGTGCATATAAGCATAACCAATGGACGCAAAACTCGGGGGGGTAAGGGCATGTATGGGAGTAGGGTTGGGGGGGACAATGGTAAGATATGTACAGATATAACACCCTAATAAATAAACGAGAGAGAAAAAGAACAGTTGGGGGAGTCTAGCAAAGGTAAGGAGGCAAAGATTTGGAAGAAGGAACCTCGTTGTGGGGATGGGGTGTGGCCAAAGAGCATGGAGGATGGGGCTTGGACTCTTGATGGGTGGACCCAAGGGTCAGATGGGTCTTTCCAAACTCCAACCTGAGAAGCAATATTTCCCTGGAGCCTGACCCCTTCGGGGTCCTCTCCGGGTTGGTCCAGGCCCCGCTGGGGTCTGGTCCTGGAGACGGCAGTGACCCTGAGCCTGCCCGCTGGCCCGGCTCTCTCCCGCAGGGGTGGACGACGTCTTTGTGTTCATCAACACCTACCGCCAGGCCACCCACCTGGAGGACCCGCAGCTCCGGATGATCCACACCATCCAGACGGCGGGCAAGGCCACCTTCTTCACCTCCCTGACCACGGCCGCCGCCTATGCAGCCAACGTCTTCTCCCAGGTGCGGCCCTCCCTCTGCCCTGCCCCCGCCTCCCCATCTCCCACACCTCTCCCCCACCCCCCGGCCCCATTCTCTGCTCTGTGCTCTGCCCCTTCTCTCGTGGCCGCACAGCCTTTTTCTCAGGCTCTCGCCATGTCTGCGGAATCCATTTTTGTTACTTATCACAATTAACAGAACTTAACAAATGAGAAGGTTGCAATAATCCAGATAAAATGTATTAGTGATGCTCATTCATAGTAACCCAGCATCTGCCCTGAAACGCATTTGGCAGTTTCCAAAGCTCTTTTGCATTGAGTCCTTCTGATATACTTATGGCAACGGTGTCATTACATCCCTGTTTTCCTAATAGATAAACAGAAGCCCAGAGAGGTCACGTGACTTCTCCAAGGTCACACAGCTGGTGACTGGTGAGCCTGCCCACTTTTCCTGGCCACGGAGCTCTTCCCACCCATGCACTTGACAGTGCATTGTCATCGCTCACCTGGCCGTCCTTTGGCTGGTCCCATGCTCCTCTGGGCTCTGAGTTGGGCTCAGGAGAAGGCTCTGAGTTTGGCCAGCCTGTTGGTGCAGATAGAACCTGAATGGCAGGGAGCGTGCTTGAGTTTCAGAGGGGTTTCGTCCCCTGGGCTGAGTATCCCATTCAGAAACCACTAGATGCTTTGGGATAATCCAGGCCTTCCTAGAGAACCACATCCGGGAAACAGGCAGAGCTGAGTCCAAAGCCCACCTCTGCCATTTACGGCTGTGTGACCTTAGGCAGGTTATTAACCTCTCTGAGCCTCACTTTCCTCCTGTGTGGGTTAGGCCAGGACTGGAATAAGATGACTGTGAAAGTGAAGGCTTGTCTGCTCGTTGATTCCAGTTCTCTTCTGTGCCGGTCCCTGTAACCAATGGGAGCACACCCATTGCTCCAAGGCCCCGGGCTCCCTAGTCCTGTCACATGGCAGCATCCTCTCCCTTCCCCGTCACTAACACAGGGGCTGGTCTAACCGGGTGTGTCTGGCTCCCAGCCATTCCTGTGATGATGGTTATGGAGCCCTTGCTCTTTGCCTAGCACTGTTCTAGGCAGCGGGCTGTAGTACAGACAAGAGCCTTCTCTCCCTCCCCTGTTGTGTCCCCTGGCACCAGGCCTTGCCTTCCGATGCCGTCCTGGGCCAGTGGCTGCCATCCCAGCAGCCGAGGCCTCCTCGTCCTGCCTTAGGGCGTGGTCTGGGGTCCTGAGTGCCTTTGGCTGTAGAGTCTGCAGGCTCCTGGGCTCCAGGCCTGACCAGCTCTGCATCCTTCTACCCCCTCATCTCTTCTCCTCTCCATCGCCAGATCCCGGCCGTCCATGACTTTGGCCTGTTCATGTCTCTCATCGTATCCTGCTGCTGGCTGGCTGTGCTCTTCACCATGCCTGCTGCCCTGGGCATCTGGAGTCTTTACATGGCACCACTGGAGGGCGCTTGCCAGACCAGGTGAGCTGGGCAGGTGGGGTGGGGGGCCTGTCCTCTCCCTGAATATCCTGAACTGTCTCTTTTGATTCGTTTTTTAGCACCTTTTGTCTGCCCAGTCCTATGCTGCTCAGGGGACAAGGAAGGAGAAGAGAACCCTGTTGGGTGATTCCCCCTTGTGACCACCTGCTGTGTGCCAGGAAGTGGGCAGAGTGCGTTGGCACTAATCATATTGATACCCCCACCGTCTCCCAGGACCCTGGGAGCTGGTTGCCCTCATTCTGCCCATTTTACAGATGAGGAAACAGGGCTTGGGGAAGTTAAGCAAGTTTCTTTAGCTCACCCACTCAGTAGGCAGCAGAGCCGAATAAACCCAAATAAATCTGACCCTGGATCCGGGCTCTTAGTTACCATGTTAAATGCCCTCAAGGCTCTGGTCCTGGTGGAGAAACAATATGTAGACACATGAGCCGTGAGCAACGTCGAACAGGCGAGGCCAGAGTTGCTGCGGGAAGTGAGAGCTCAGGATCTTGTGGGCTGGGTGGCCGGGGAAGGAGGGAAAGAGGGAAGGAAGGAGGGAGGGGGAAGAGAAAGGGGATGGAGTCTGGAAGTCTGGTGTCTGCCTAGGCTTGGGTACTGAGGAATGAGGGAGGGTCTCTGGCCTGGGGCAGGTCACACAAAGGCAGGAACGTTGGGGGTCTGGGCCATGTCCACCTGACCGTGTGGGCCAGGGGTGGTAGGGAAGGGTTGGAAGCCCAGCACAGGGTTCAGACGTTACAGCTCATGGGTGGTGCGGCTGGGCACTGCCCAAGGCCACTCCAGCTAAGGCACTGCTGTGCCCTATGGGCATTCACATTTGACTATTGCTTTATTTTTTTTTATATGTTTTTATTGATTTTAGAGAGAGGGGAATGGAATGGAAAAGGATATATAGATAGAAATTTCTGATGAGAGAGAAACATCAATCCACTGCCTCCTTCACGCCCCCTACTGGGGATCAAGCCCATAACCTGGGAATGTGCCCTGACTGGGAATTGAACCACTAACCTCTTGGTTCACGGGTTCATGCTTAACCACTAAGCCACAGCAGCTGGGCCTCATTTGACTATTTCTTTTCTTTTCTTTTTTTTAATATATTTTATTTATTTTTCACAGAGAGGAAGGGAGAGGGAGAGCTAGAAACATCGATGAGAGAGAAATCCATCAGCTGCCTCCTGCACGCCCCACTGGGGATGTGCCCACAACCAAGGTATATGCCCTTGACCAGAATCAAACCTGGGACCCTTGAGTCCTCAGGCCGACGCTCCATCCACTGAGCCACATCGTTCAGGGCATCATTTGACTCTTTCTATGACAGTTTTAGGACAGAGGAAAATGTCCTAGGAAGGATGTGTTTTTCTAATCTCTACAGAGATACCAAATATGCCCCCCATCTCCATCTTCACCCCCAACCCCCGGGTTGGGGCCGGGGACACAGCAGACGCAGTGAGCAGTCTTCCCAGCCCTGGGCTCCAGCCTCAGCCTCTCTGCTCGGCAGCTGGGACCTCGGGTCGGGCGTAATACTGAGCCTCCCGGTGTCTCAGGTTGCTTGTTTGTTTTGGTAAAACGGGTGTAAATCCTGGTGAGATTGCGGTGAGGATTCAGTGAGAGGATTCACCTGGGCTTACAGCCGCTGCCTGGCACCGAGCAGTCTAGTTTGCCGGGCGCATTAGTCGTGTTTCTAGGGTGAGCCTCGTCCCCTCCCCACCACATTCTCTCCATCAAGGCCCTGGCCACATGCTCTACCCTCCCCACTTCCTGCTCCTCCCGGGGTCAGGGCCCCGGGGCATGGCCAGCACAGCATGACCCTTGCTTTGGTCACCTGCATGTTGCCATCCCCTCTCCCTGGGTAGTGGCTGCTGTCACTGGGGTCCCTCAGAGGAATCGCTGGCTGATGGAAGGCAGTCAGGCAGGTTTCTGGAGTCCGTGGTGAACGTGCTGGGTGAGATGTCAGCGGCGGTGTGAGACCTGGATCCTGTGGTCGCCGGGCCCCTGCCCCAGCCTCCCCGGACACCCAGACCGTCCGGGTTCACCCCTCTCCCCACTCTCTCCATAGCTGCCACCGGAAGTGTGGCCGCAAGAGCTCCCTGCACTTCCCCGGGGACGTGTTCGCCACTGCGGAGCGGGCGGGGGGCGGCCCCGCCCAGGGCCCCCTGCCCTACCTGGACGATGACATCCCCTTGCTGAACGTGGAGGAGGAGCCAGGTAAGAGGGGGCCTGGCCCTGCCAGACCTGGGGCTGCCTCTGCCAGGGCAGTGCCTTTGGACAAGATGGCTTGAGGAAGGGCTGGCCCTGAGACAGGGGGCTGGACCAGCGGTCTGGGGGCTCCCCATGGAGCACTGGGGCTTCCCTGGAGCGGGTGGAGACAGGCGGGCTTCAGCGCGGGTCTGGGCCAGGCCTCTCACAGGCCACCCCTCTGCCTGGCAGTGTCTCTGGAGCTGGGGGACGTGTCTTTGGTGTCTGTGCCCCCCACGGGCCTGCAGCCCACCCCCGACAGGGGCAGCCGCGGGCAGCTCATCGCTCAGCTGCAGGAGCTGCTGCACCACTGGGTCCTGTGGTCAGCCGTCAAGAGCCGCTGGGTGATTGTGGGTAAGTGGACCCCCACCCTCCTTCCCCTCTATCTTAGAGCTCCTCCCCAGCGTCAGCGTGTGGGGAGCACACGCCCCCAAAGGACACGCAGGCTTTGGGATCCCACCCCATCCCGCAAGTGAGCGAGACGTCAGGGACCTGGGTTGGCATCCACCCTGGCTCTGAGCCTCACCTCCCTCCTGTGTCCGACGAGCTGGTCCTCAGCAGCCTGTTTCCCGAGCACCTAGCATGCGCGGCCATGGTGTTGGGCTCTGGGGCTGGACCGACTTGGCCGAGTTGGACTCCTCATTGTACCTACCCTGCGCGGGCTGTGCGACCTCGACTGTGTCCACCAGCCCGCGCCTCAGGTCCCGGGCCCGTGACTGTAGATGATGACAGGGTCTGTCTCCTCAGGCCCGTGGAAGGACTGGCACGGTGCATGTAAAGCCCAGTGCATGGCACAGGTGCCATTATTATTATTATCCTCATTACCAGGACGGTATTTAGGGTGGTGTGCCAACACTGGACGAGCCAGCTCTTTGTCAACTAAACGCTCTCAGGGGGTGACTGCTTGTCCTGGAGTGTGAGCCTGTAGCTTCTCTCTGATTCCCAAGGGACGCATAACAGGCAGCCCCCACCCCTGGAGGGCTGATCCCCAGCAAGCTCCACCCACAGGCTGGCACGCTGGGGTCTGCCCATTCCGTGGGAGACCCTGCCCCCTGCTGCCCCCCTCCCCCCATGAAGGGAGCAGCTCTTTGCCGAGGCTCTGGAGGCCCCGCCTAGTGTGGCGTCCTTCCCTCGCAGGCCTCTTTGTCTCCATCCTCATCCTGTCCCTGGTGTTCGCCAGCCGGCTCCGCCCTGCCAGCCGGGCCCCCCTGCTCTTCCGGCCCGACACCAACATCCAGGTGCTGCTGGACCTCAAGTACAACCTGAGCGCCGAGGGCATCTCCTGTATCACCTGCTCAGGTGAGCGGTTCCCTCTGGGGGCCCCGGCGGGGTCTCAAAGGGTGCTAGCCTGAACGATGTGTTTCCACGTTTCATCAAACCGATGCGTACTGGGTGCCAGCTGCCTGGCCCTGGGGAGGCCGCACTAGGTGGCACCGGCTTCCTAAGCTCAGGGAGCTCGTCCCGCTGCTAGCGGCCAGCCATGGTCACAGTAGACCTGAGCTGGGATGGAGGAAGAGCAGGGTGACTGTGGAGCTCAGCATCATGGAAGGCTTCCTGGAAGAGGCAGCGTCTAAGCTGAGACTGGAAGAAGGGGGAGGAGTTAGCCAGGCTGGCAGGGAGAGCATGCTGATTGTGGCCGTGGAATCGGGAGACTCTGAGGGAGTGAAAGCCATAGGACTTGGTGACGGTGCGTGTCCAGGATGAGCAAGGTGGTGAGACACACATGTCTCCTCGCCTCCGAGGTGCCCGAGCTGGGCCCTCATTTCCCAGAGGGAGGCCTGACACTGGGGTCAGGGCAGGGGAAGCCGGCCCAAGGTCACCCAGCTCTGCCTGGGCCGTTGGAAAGCAGATGAGAAGATGCTTGGGCGACCCGGCCGGCTCCTAGGAGGAGAGGGCCGCGGCTGTAATTGCTTTCATCTAATGAGGGCGTGTTCAGGTTCACTGGACCTCCCCTCGGTAATGGCATCAGCCAAACGCATGATAATTGACTGCGGCTCAGAGAGGTGTCCAAGAGCCCCTCCTAGATTGGAGCCAGCCTGAGCCACAGCCCCGGCCCCCTCCTGCCGCTGGCACACACATTCAGCTCCATGATCACCGCTGCTCCAAGGGGCCCTGTGGCCCCTCGGGGCCAGGAGGCCACAAGCCGTGTTCACTCCCATCACAGAGGAACAAGCCCAGGGTGACCCCAACGTTCCCGGGAGCATCTGGAGGACCAGGACCCCAGTCAGAGCCCAGCCCCAGCCTCTTCTGCCTCATAGCTCTCCGGACTGCCTCTCAAAGGGCCCTCCTGATCGTAGCAAAAGGAGCTTTGGCTTTCGGGGCAGGCAAGCCCACACCTTACTGAGGCCCTCAGCCTCTTAGCTCCTCTGCAGGCCCCGCAACCTCCCTGACCCTCTGCTTTCTTCCCGCCCACTGGGGTTAACAACAGCGACCTCCTAGGACCATGGTCGGCAAACTGCGGCTCACCAGCCTCATGGGGCTCTTTGGCCCCTTGAGTGTGGCTCTTCCACAAAATACCACGGCCTGGGCGAGTCTATGTTGAAGAAGTGGTGTTAGTTAGAAGAAGTTTAAGTTTAAAATATGTGGCTCTCCAAAGAAATTTTCATCGTTATACTATTGATATTTGGCTCTGTTGACTAAAGAGTTTGCCGACCACTGTCCTAGGAGCATTGTGAGGATTACATTTTTGGAGATGTGACGTTTCTCTCATTAAAAAAAAACAAAACCCAGCCAAAACCGGTTTGGCTCAGTGGATAGAGCGTCGGCCTGCAGACTGAAGGGTTCCAGGTTCGATTACAGTCAAGGGCATGTACCTTGGTTTCAGGCACATCCCCAGTAGGGGGTGTGCAGGAGGCAGCTGATTGATGTTTCTCTCTCATCGATGTTTCTGACTTTCTATCTCTCTCCCTTCCTCTCTGTAAAAAAATTAATAAAAAAGTATTTTTTTAAAAATAAAATAAATAAAAAACAAAACCCATCTACAGTGCCTGCGAGCCGGGAGCGTTCCATTTCTATTATAGCTGCTCCTGGTGTGTGCTCTCGGAGCATCTATTCCCGGCCAGGAGTACGAGAAGCAGCGTCCCACCTGCTCCTCAGCCCCCTCTGGACGTCCCGTGTCACCCCTCTGACCGGGAGGGAGTGAGGCCGGCGAGGAGGAGGGGGAAGCTTCCAGTGGCTCTGGCTGGCGGGTCCTTTCTCTTGCCTTAAGATTCCTGTACATTCAGTATTTGATGTCTTCTTATTTTTTTAGTTCCACTTAATTTCTCTCAGACCCCTGACACTCCCTCTCCCCGAGCTGAGGGCCCTGGGCTCCACATCCCTGGGGTTGTCACCGATCCCCGCCTCTGCCCGCCCCCTCCTACCCAACCCACCCCACCACCAGGCCCAGCAGGGTGGCCCTGCTGCTGACCCAGAGCGGGGCGGGGCAGGTCTGTTCCAGGAGAAGCCGCACAGCCTGCAGAACAACATCCGCACGTCCCTGGAGAAGAGGAAGCGGGGCTCCGGGGTCCTGTGGGCCGGCCGGCCTGAGGTCACCCCGCAGGGTCAGTGGGCGTGGGGTCTGCCCAGGTGGGGGTGCCGGAGACCTGTTGGCGGGAGGGCGTGGGAGCCCTGTGAGGAGAGAAGGCTGTGGGACAGGAGCCTGTGCTCTTGGGTGGCCGTGGAGGGGTTGGGTGGCCGGTGGACTCAGGGTGAACCGGGCCCTCCGCCACTGTCCCCCCAGCTGTCCCAGCCAGACCGTCCAGCCCAGCCTGAGGTGCCCCATGAACCCGCCCTGTGCACCAGACCCATCCCGAGTGGGGGAGGGCAGGGCGTCCCGACGCTGGGGCCTCCATCAGAGCCGGGGTGCTAGGACACGTGTCGGAATTAAGTGCCCCACAGGGCAGTTCTGTATGACCGTAGTCACCCCATCGGTGCCCACCATCATCCTTGCCAGTCCCAGCTCCCTGTTCACACTGCTCCTATCACTGGTCACTCACTCCCCTAGTCCATGCCCACACATCCCCACCACCAACGTCCCCTCTGCCAGTCCCTTCGCCCATGCCACCTCATCCCCGCTGTCCATGCAGCCACCTCATCCTGGTGCCACCACCAAGGTCAAGCCTGCGTCCCTCAGGCAGCAGAGGGAGGACTGCTCCAGGGCCAGGGGGAGCCAGTCCCGGTAACCCCACCCCCTCCGTCCTCCTTTGTCCCCCCAGACGCCCCAGGCACCGTGTACGTGTCCAAGGTGAAGAGTCAAGGCCGCCCGGCTGTCTACAGATTCTCCCTCAACGCCAGCCTGCCTGCCCCCTGGCAGGTCGTGTCCCCCGGGGACGGAGAGGTGCCCTCCTTCCAGGTAAGCCCGGGCCGCCCTCAGTGCCACACTGATGGGCACTGGCCACGCAGGGAGGGGGAGGGGTCTGTGAGGCGGGAGCTACTGCAGGCAGATGAGGAGTCTCTCCCGCCAGTAGCCAGACTGTGGCAGGGACCCACAGAGTGGCGAGAGCATGGGCTACCGAGTCAGCCAGTCCTGGGTTCGAGTCATGGCTCTGCCATGTATATACTCTGTGTGTCTTTGGGCTGATGACTTAGTCTCTCTGAGCCTCAGTTTTCTCATCTGCGAAATGGGGATATGAAAAGTAGTAGCCAGGGTTGCTGGAGGTGCGTGAGGTAAGGCCTGTGCAATGCGTGCCATCTGGAGCCTAGTAAAGTGCTCAGTGAATGGAGCTACCAGTTAGATGGTTCTGGGCAGCTGCTCCAGAGCCCCCAAGGCCAGCCCAGGCCTCCAGCCTTCCCTTCGAGGAATCATTTGTGTTTCTTCAACTGTTACACCCTCCAGCACGCACCAGCACACTTGTCCATTTGAAAGACGAGGTGTCAGGAGGCATTTCCTGACTCTGAGCCTTTGCATTGCTGTTCCCACTAGGAAGCTAGAAAGCCCTCCTTCCAGCCTAATCTGCTGACGCCTCACTCAGCGCTCCACATAAGCATCAGCTGCCCATGGAGCCCTGTGCGGCCATCCTTTTTGGTCTGCCCTCCTCTTCCCCTGCCCCTCTATCCTGTCTTATCGTCACGATTGTTTACTTCCTTAAGAGAATCTGAAGCTCTGGTGATCGGCAGGCCGTGAGGGCAGGGGCCACGCCCATCTTGCTCACTTGTATGCTCAGGGCCTGGCATGAATAGATGCCCAGCTGAAGGAAAGACTGAGGCCCAGAGAGGGCAGGGAGGATTTTCCCAGCCTTCCAACTCGAACCCAGGCCTCCTGTGCTTCCGCCCAAAGCACTCTCATCCACTCTGGGGGGCGGGACGGGGTGGGACAGGGTGAGGGGGGGGGGGCCGGAGCGTGAGGCTGGGCGCGGGCCGAGGTGGCCTCCCAGAGGGAGTCACGTGTCTTGTCTCTGTCGATCCACTGCTTAGGTGTATAGAGCGCCTTTTGGTAACTTCACCAGGAAGCTGACCGCTTGTATGTCTACAGTAGGGCAGCTCCAGGCGGCGAGCCCCTCCCGCAGGTGGATGGTGACGACCTTGGCCTGCGACGCCAAGCGGGGCTGGAAGTTCGACTTCAGCTTCTACGTGGCCTCCAAGGAGCAGCAGCACACCCGGTGAGGCCTGGCAGAGAGGCTGCTTCCCCGGGCCCGGCCCCCTTCCCTCCCCCCACCCCCCAGCCTTCACCCCCGATCCTCTCAGCCAGCAGGTGCCTTTAAGAAACCCATGTCCCTTTCTACACACCTGCTCAGATATGTCTCTGCCCAGGACAGGGGTGTGGGGACACCGGCAGTGGGTGCTGTTGGTCCAGGCTGTGCCCTCAGCACAGTGCCGACGTCAGCACTCAGTACAGAATGAATTCGGGAAATAGTTAATGTCTCTCCCATCCGAACAGTGGCAGGTATTTCCCTGCTGGATGCTCAGGCCCTGCCTATGTTTGGCTTGATCTAAGTGCCCCAATGCTCCACTGCATTCTGCGCCTTGGGTATCCTGAGGGAGCTGGGAGCAGCTGGGGGTGCCTGGAGCCAGCTTGGGGCATCCCGAGGCAGCTGGGGGTGTCTTCCCAGGTTCCCTCCCGAGTTCTGGGCCAGGGCCCCGCATGCACTTGTCATTGAGCTGTAGCAGCAGAGGATCTGCTGTTCTCCGTCCGTTCATTCAGCAAAGGCTGCGCACTCCCGGGCCGGCCGTGCAGGTGCTGGGGTTCAGGGGTGCAGCGGTGAACGCGACAGCTGCCCGCGCCCTCGGGCTCACTAGCGGGAGGCAGCCGCTCACAAGTGAACCGCGATGGCATTACAAATTATGACATGAGTTCTGACAGCGGTGCCAGGCTATCCGCGTCTAGAGAGCGGTGCGGGCCTGCACAGGGACTCCCGGGCTCTGGCCTCTGGCCGCCTGGCCCAGGACATCAGCCCCCACACAAGGCCCAGTCCCTCCTGGGACAGGGGTGAGGCGGAGGCAGGGGATGGCCAGGTGGGCTTGCTGGCCCTTCCTCCAGGCACCTAGGCTGAGATGGGAGTCCCTCTGCCCACCCTCCCCGAACCCAGGGCTGGGCTCACTCTGCATGTACACAGCAGCCAGGACCTAGGGCAGGTTTCCTGGATGAGCTTAGAACATTCTGGAAAGAACCGTGAGCTACATCAAGTCCAGTGGCCAGCAAGCTGACCATAGAACCCTTTCTTCACGACAGAATCTTGAGTCCCCTTACTGTTTCGGTTGAGGTGAGGAGGTTCAGGGAGCTTCTGAGCAGGGACCCTCAAGGCTGGCCCTGGTCCCCTCTGTGAACTCTTGCACCCCCTAGAGGGCAGTTTGGAAACTGGCCCCTCCACCCCTCAGGCCACAGGTGGGGAGACACTCAGGTAGGGGAAGGGCCTTGTGCACTCTTGCCTCGCCTCCTCGAGTCCTCCCAGCCTCTATGGCCTCAGTCCCGGCCTCCCTGGCCTCAGTCCCAGCCTCCCTGGCCTCAGTCCGGCCTCCTTGCCTCCACAGGAAGCTGTACTTCGCACAGTACCACAGGCCGCCTTTCCACGGGCGCGTGTGCGCGACTCCTCCCGGCTGCCTGCTCAGCTCCAGCCCTGACGGGCCCACCAAAGGCTTCTTCTATGTGCCCAGTGAGAAAGGTACTTGTGGGGAGACCACAGGGACCTGGGGGGCCGGGCCCGCCTCTGCTACAACTGTGCCTCCCCTGCAGGGCCCAGGGCCCGCCTCTCGGCCACCTTCGGCTTCAACCCCTGCGTGAACACGGGCTGCGGGAAGCCGGCGGTGCGGCCGCTGGTGGACACGGGGGCCATGGTCTTCGTGGTCTTCGGCATCCTCGGCATCAACCGCACTCGACAGGTGGACAACCACGTCATCGGAGACCCGGTACGTGGACCAGACGCCCAAGGGAAGGGCCCGACTAAGCAGCTTGCCAACGAGTAGCAGCCCGGAGGCGAGCCCTGAGGCTACCGCCCCCCACCAGCCCTCCACATGCCCTCCCCAGGTGGACAGGACCCCCACAGCCCTCGCTGTCATTTCCTTTGAGGACTGAGCAGAGTTGAGGTCTCAGAATCACCCAGGAATCTGAGTACACTGGGGGTCTGAGTGGGCTGCCCCTCACCATCGGGGATGGAGATGGAGATGGAAATAACACACGTGCAAACTGCCTGTCCTCCGGCTGCAGGGGGCCCCGCCCTGTGGGGCCCCTCTCCCCTCGTACGGGTCTGTGTTCCACACTGGGCTCTCAGGCATTTGAAGGGAGGAAGCCGGTGGGGCTGTGGGGAGGTGTGCTCCTGGCACGCAGTGGGCGAGGGCACGTGGTAGGAAGGACTGGACGCAGCACGATCGGGCCGCTGCCTGGAGCAGTCAGTGCCCGTGAGAGTCCAGCTCAGACAGGAGGCACTTAGGGAGAGGGGTGCCGGGGATCTGTCTGCTCAGGCCAGCCCGGGAGCCGCGGTGCTCAGAGGAGGCTGGGAGAACAGGCCGCCTGCCAGGGAGGACGTGAGGGCTTTGGCTGTGGGGAGGGGGAGGAGAAAGCAGGCAGCCCGGGGAGGGCGCTGTGAGTGGCAGCCAGGAGGTGAGGCTAAGGGCCGTGGGGGGTGGGCAGTAAGGGATGGGCTTGGGTGGGGACCACGTGTGACCCACAGAGGGCTCCAGCTTGCTGGGGACCCACGATCCCCCATGACGGCGTTCCCAGCTCACTGAGCGGCCTGCGCCGCTTGTGTCTCCTTGGGAAAGGGCAGCGTCGTCTATGACAGCGGCTTCGACCTCTTCAAAGAAATTGGGCACCTGTGTCGCCTCTGCAAGGCCATCGCGGGGAACCTGGAGCTGGTGAAGCCGGGCGGGGCCCAGTGCCTGCCCTCAGGTGTGTGGGGAGCCAGGCTCTTGAGGGAGGAGGGGCTGGGGGACCGGGGCATCGGCAGACATGCATGTGTGCTTGCATGTCCGCCCTGGGGTCGGGGGGGAGGAAGGGAAAGGGGTGCGAACATTTGTGTGTCTCCTGGAAGAGAACGGGGTCACGTGTGAATGTGCAATGGCCCAGAGGTGCGATGTGTGGTGCCGTGTGTGGTGTGTGTAGGCACACTTGCAGGAGTAGCTTTCCCAACAGTAGGGGCACGGGCTGGCACAGGTGCCCCCAGGCCTCCCTGAGAGGGCACAAGACGTCGTTCTCCACCCTGGGGGTGGGGGGGTGTTGTGGGTTCCCCGTGATGTCGCCAGTGGTCACACACACTGGAAACCTGGAGGGTAGAGGGAGGGCGGGTCCCTTCCCACACGCACACGCACACGCACACACACATGCACACGCACAGGTGAGCATGAGTGCACGGTGGCAGGGCGGCCTGGGTGGGCGCCCTCCCAGGTAACCGCTCCCTCCCCCTCCTCCCGCAGGCTACAGCATCTCCGCTTTCCTGCAGATGCTGCACCCCGAGTGCAAGGAGCTGCCCGAGCCCAACCTGCTGCCGGGGCAGCTGTCGCACGGTGCCGTGGGCGTCAAGGAGGGGCGCGTGCAGTGGATCTCCATGGCCTTCGAGTCGGTGAGCCCCGTGGCCTCCGTGCGGCCCCTCTGGCCCCGGCCCTGGCTCCGTCCCAGAGCAGAGCGATGGCTCTCCAGAAGGGGATACCGGCCCAGGGGGTGACGCTGTCGTCCAGGTCACCTGGGGGTGAGCTCAGGTGGAGGCCGAACCACAGCCGCAAAGCTCGGTCTTTCTTTCTTTCTTTCTTTCTTTCTTCTTTCTTTCTTTCTTCTTCTTTCTTCTTTCTTTCTTCCTTTCTTTCTTTTTTTTTTTGTTGTTGTTGTTGTTAATCCTGATCCGAGGATATTTTCCCACTGGTTTTTAGAGAGAGTGGGGGAGAGAAGGAAAGACAGAGAGAAACATCGATGCGAGAGAAACACATGGATTGGTTGCCTCCTGCATGAGCCCTGACCAGGTCCCAGGCCAGGGGGGAGCCTGAAACTGAGGTATGTGCTCTTGACCGGAATCGAACTCAGGACCCTTTGGTCCACAGGCCGGTGCTCTACCCACTGAGCAACACCGGCCAGTGCAGAGCTCAGCCTTTCTACATGCAGGCGGCCAGCAGCTCCTTGCACCCTCCCTCCCCACCGTGTGTGGTGACGTGTGTGGTGTGTGTGGGTCTAGCCGTTTGGCAGCCTCTGGGCTGCAGGGGCAGGTGGGGTATGGGCTGGGGAAAGAGCAGGATGCTCCCCTCTGCCATGTGGGGGCTCCCCCTACAGGGGCTGGAAGCCCGGGACTGGCCATCCCATAGTTCACTGCTTCCTCTCACCCCGACACTCCTGGGCTCCGCCCCAGGAGGCACACACTCGCGAGCGCGCACACACATGCACACACATGCACATGTGTGCCCTGGACATCTGCCGGCCTTGCCCAGCTGCCCTGCTGCCTCCCTGCTGAGACCTGGGCCCAGTCCTGCCTGGACCCGGTGGGCTCTGTGTCCCTGAGCAAGTAACTCGTCCCCTGTGACCTCAAGTCCATCTAGAGAACGGGGTTACCGGTCCCTGTCCTCCAGGGCCCCTGAGAAGCAGCCGCGCCACCACGTGAGGGCGATGGGGAGTGAGAATGACAGTGACATGGGCACAAGTGGAAGCCGATTCTTGTTCTCTGTTCTCAGGGAGCAGAACTGGCCGGTGAGATCACACGGGGGAAAGGCCCAAAGAGGGTGAATGCCGTGTCTTCCCCTCCCAACAGCTCCCAGAGCCGGGCCGTGTGAGCCGGACAGGCCGCACCCTGCCTCCCTGGACTCAGTCCAGCCAGGAGATGGGCAGGTTGATGGGCAGTGACAAGAGCTATGATTCACAGACCAGAGTTCGGGTCCCTCCTGCTCGGGGGCAGCAGGCCATTCTCCGACCCTGAATTAGGCCACTGAAGAAGAAATAATAGGTTTCTCTCAATAGCTTTCTTGCAGAGGGCAGAGGTTGCCTATCTTGAGGTATTAAGGAAGGCTTCCTGGAGGAGGCAGGACATAGAGAGCCTTGAAGGATGAGTGGAGCTGGCTTATAGGCCGAGGGTGGGACACGGAACACAGGGGCGCTGGGTGCTGAGGTGGCTGTGGGAAGGGGGCAGCGACTTTGTGCCCTGGGACTGGCCGCGGCTGTAAGAATCACACGCGTCCCCAGAAACCGGCTGTAAGAATCACACGCGTCCCCAGAAGCCGGTAGGCAGGCCATCATCCTGGATTGGCTTGCCCTTCACTCCCCACAGACAACACGCTCTGTTCGCAGGTGGCCAAGGACTGGCTGCCTCTGCCCCGGAAGAATCAGCCGCAGCCTGGGAAGGGGAAGGGGGCCACAGCCACCCACCATCTCACTGGTCGTGTCCCCCACAGACCACGTACAAGGGCAAGTCCTCCTTCCAGACCTACTCGGACTACCTGCGCTGGGAGAGCTTCCTGCAGCAACAGCTGCACACCTTCCCCGAGGGCTCGGCCCTGCACCGTGGCTTCCAGACCTGCGAGCACTGGAAGCAGATCTTCATGGAGATCATAGGCGAGCAGCTCCCGGCCCCCTCTCACCTCCCCCCTCCACCCCCGGGCTCCCGGCGGGGTGGCTGGTGGCAGTGGACAGTTAGGTGGCCGGGCAGGGAGGGCCGGCCGTGGCCATTCTGAGCCATGCTTGTCATCCTCTCCATCCTGGCCTAGAGCCCTGGAGAGAAACCGGAAGGACCCAGTGGCCGGGAACACCGATCAGCAGCCAGAGTTTGGTCCCCCTGCTCAGGGCATCTGGCCGCACTCTCTGAGTCTGACTTAGGCCACCTCGAAAGGAAGAGCAGCAGCCATATGGCGGCCTGGTATCATTTCCATGCCAGGCCCTGTGCTCCTGGCCTGTGCTATCTCTTTTAAATATATATATTATTGATTTCAGAGAGGAAGGGAGAGAGAGAAAACATAAATGATGAGAGAATCATTGGTCAGCTGCCTCCTGCACACCCCATATAGGATGGAGCCCGCAACCCTGTGCCCCGACCAGGAATCGAACTGTGACCTCCTGGTTCGTAGGTCGATGCTCAGCCACTGGGCGACACCAGCCGGGCTGTGCTATCTCTTTAAACTCCAGATGAGGCCTGTGGGTTAAATACTGTCATTATCCCATTTTACAGATGAAGAAATGGGGGATCCGAGAGGTCAAGTGGCTTTCCCAGAGTGACACAGCCAGCTGGGACTGTGCCCCGGGTTGAATCCCTGTGACCTCTGAACCCTGAGGGTGGGGGAGGGTTGTGGGTGCCCCACCTCGCAGCCCGGCTGAGGACCCCCTGTGTCCCCTTGCAGGGGTGCAGAGCGCCCTGTACGGCCTGGCCCTCTCCCTGCTCATCTGCGTGGCCGCGGTGGCCGTGTTCACCACCCATGTGCTGCTCCTGCTGCCCGTGCTCCTGAGCATCCTGGGTGAGTGGCCGGGGTCCCATCAGCAGCTTCCTCTCAGCCCTTAACTGTCCCATCCCCAGAGGTGGCTTCCTGACCAACCCCGCCCGGCAAAGTGCCCTCTGCTCGGTGCTGTCTGGGCGACAGTGGTTCGTAGCTTGGGGCCCAGAGTCCCCCAGTGCACGTGGGTCCATCCCCCAGCTCCCTCTGGCCCTGTCCCTCCTGCCACCAGAGGTGGGGGCTCCACTCAGACTTCACCCCAACCCCTGGGGGCCATCCTCCGGGGCTGTGTGGCGGGGCAGGTCTGAGCCGCTGCCTGCTGTCCCCGCCCCGCAGGCATCGTCTGCCTCGTGGTGACCATCATGTACTGGAGCGGCTGGGAGATGGGCGCCGTGGAGGCCATCTCGCTGTCCATCCTCGTCGGCTCCTCCGTGGACTACTGCGTCCACCTGGTCGAGGGCTACCTGCTGGCCGGAGAGAACCTGCCGCCCCACCAGGCCGAGGTGAGCAGCCCGCCTGCCTCACAGCTCCCCGTACGCCTTCCCCTGAGGTGCAGGGGAGGGACACCCTGGTGCCTGAGGCCCACCAGGGTGTGTTCTAGAAGCTGTGGCTCCCGGGGCCCTTCCCCCAGGGGACATGAGCTCCCAGGCAGCTCCCCCAGCCAGCGCTGTGGGCCCCGGATTTCAGAGAGGAAGGGAGAGAGAGAAAACATAAACCCCTAAGTGGGCGTGAGGGGTTGGACCAGGCGGCATCCAAGGGCCTTTCCTGCTCCTCGGCTCCCGAGTCCGTGTCTCGGCCTGCAGCCGGGGGAGCAGGCCTGGGCCCTCGTTCATGACCCCGAGGCCGCCAGCTGGCCCTGCTGGCTTCGTGAGAACATGCCCTTGACTTGGTGCCAGACACAGCTCTGGGCCATAAACTCCTTGTTGTATCCTTGTCCGGAACTGCACTGATGTGAAAACACAAGTAAATTATTTATACATGTAGCTGCTTTTGGTCAAAAGAAGGACATCAGTGCCAGTTAGGGTTCCCATTCATGAGGACCTACTGTGCAGATCGTCAGCATCATGGTTGTCATAGCAGCACTTAAAGCCTCCCCGCGGGGCATGGAGCTGCTGTGGGAGAACCATGTCATCTGCACCCCCAACCCTGTGGAGTAGCCGCTATAGTCGCCCCACTTACGGAGGCAGAATTGGGGGCTCCCAGGGGCAGGGCTGGCCTTGCAGGGGTGCACGTTTACCCAGCATCCACCCCCCCCCCCAGCCCTGGCCCCAGGCGGGGAGGGACCCCGCGCCACATCCGGTCCCCGCCCCCAGCTCTGCTCTCCCTGCACCCAGGACGCCCACTCGCAGCGCCAGTGGCGGACGCTGGAGGCCGTGCGGCACGTGGGCGTGGCCATCGTGTCCAGCGCCCTCACCACGGTCATCGCCACCGTGCCCCTCTTCTTCTGCATCATCGCCCCGTTCGCCAAGTTCGGCAAGATCGTCGCGCTCAACACGGGCGTGTCCATCCTCTACACGCTCACGGTCAGCACGGCCCTGCTGGGCATCATGGCGCCCGGCTCCTTCACCCGGACCAGGACTTCCTTCCTCAAGGCCCTGGGCGCCGTGCTGCTGGCGGGGGCGCTGGGGCTGGGCGCCTGCCTCCTGCTCCTGTGGAGCGGCTACAAGATCCCTCTGCCCAACGGGACCTCCCTTTAGCCCTGACTTGCTCGCTTCGGCCCAGCGGACGGAGATGAGACCCTGGTCCTGTGACCCCAGAGGGACTCTGTTCCCCAGCTCGGCTCCAGCTAGTTTTGTTCCGGCCCGCCAGGCCCACGCTGCCTTCATCCCAGTGGCCAGCCGGAGCTGGGTGGTGAAGCCGGCTGCCACTCTGCCCTGCCAGGCTGCTGGCAGCCACACTGGGTTCCCCCTGACAGCAGGAGAAGCCAGCCCTCCTCCCATGCCTCCCTGGTCACCAGGGAGGTCTCCCTCTCCCGCTGCTCACCACTCTCTGAGGTGGGCGTTACCGGGCTCCCATTCTACAGATGGGAAAACCGAGGCACCAGAAGGCAACGTGGCTGACCTGTAGCTGGGTCGGTGGCAGAGCCAGCGCTAGTTCCTGAGCCCCATGCCTCCCTTGGGGGCTTTGCAGGAAGAGCAAGCACAGTGATTTCAAGGGCAGGGGCCTCGGATACCCCCTGTCTCTCCTCCCCCACTTGAGCTTTACTAGGCCAGCGCTGGGCGCTCCCGGGGTCCTCCCCAGGCCGTTTGGTCCTGGCCAGAGAGGACACAGGGACCAGCCTGGGGTTCTGCATGCCCTGCCCTTGCCCCCGGCCTTACGGGGCCCTTGTAAGGCCCTCTCCGAGGGCTTCGTGGCCCCAGCACAGCCTTCCTTACGGAGCCGCCATCTCTGACCTGACTCTGGGGGTGGGACCGGGGAAGGGGCAGCCCCTGGGAGGCCAGCTGGCCGCGCCCGCTGCCCGCTCACAGCAGATGGTCCCTATTAAAGTGGAATGAAACCGCAGACCGCCGCCATTAACACGAGGATTTTAAGCACCACTGGCTCCATCACGTTTTTCAGGTCGAAATGACTTAAGTGTCCGCATGCGGCCCTGGGGCTGGCCTGGGAGGAGACCACACAGCCCCGAGGGCTGATCAGGAATTCAGGGGGTCCTACCCAGGGCTCCGGCAGCCCCCTCATGTGTAGGGGTGGGGGGACACAGCTGTGGGACTGACAGCTCCCCCCACTTTTTCCACTCCAGGAAGCTTGTGGGAGGAAACCAGGTGGGAGGCGAGGGGCGAAGGAGGGGCTGGCCAGTGGACAAGTCATTCCAGATGCTGAGAAAAAGGACTGCCATCTCCAAGTCCCTGTCCGGAGACCTTCCCAAAAACCTCGTTGTAATGTGGAGGCAGAGCTATTTGCATATCACTTGCATGCCTTCCAGATAAGGCCCATTTGTAAGGAAACTCTTAGCCCATGTCCTCTTCCCTCCCCTTGGCCTCTGTCTGCCCAGAGCGTTGTGGGTTGTTAGGTCGGCAGGTCAAGGGCAGAGGAAGCCAGGCCTGGGGTCACTGTCGCCTCACCCCCAGGTCATAACCTTCCTGGGAGCCGGCTTCCCATCTTACAGCGGAGCAGCCGAGGGGGCCCCAAGACGGGACAGCAGTGCAAGCAGCACACCACCAGGCAGCCTCTGGCAGGGCCCCGCCCCCTCCGCCCGCCTGCCAGCCTCACCCTCTGCGCTGGCATTCTCACTCCTCAGCACTGCCCATCCTGGCCCTCAGGCTCTGCCCAGCTCCCCGCAGGGAGGTCTCCCTCCCAGGGGCAGGGTCCCGGCAGGGCTGGGGTGCGGATGTGGGGAACGCTTTGGGAACTCCAGAGAACTCTGGGCGCACGGCCGCCTGCCTGCTGGCCTGCACATAAAGGCCCCTTCGTTCTGGGTGTGAATGTCGCACCACAGGTCCCAGGGGCAGTCCCTCCCGTGAAGAGAACCTTGGCCTTGCTTTGCTGCGGCTGCTCAGCTCCTGGTCTTAAGGAGCGTTTGCGGAGCATTAATGAGGTGCTCGTTACCTTGGCACAGCAGCCAGCGGGTCTGCTGGGATGTGCGGGCATTCAGGGGTGGGAGGGAGGGGCAGAGAGACCCCCGTCTCCCTCGCCACCCCGACAAAGGTTCCCTGGGCCCCTGCTTCCCTCTGCCCGTCTGATCTCGAGGGCCAGCTGCCTTGGAGTGCCTCCCCTGTCCCAGGCCCCACGCGTGCACTCAGGATCCTGCCGGCATTCCTCGGAAGGGAGTGGGTTTATCCAATTCCACCACTAAGGAAACTGAAGCCAGAGACGGGAAGCCGCTGGCGTAGTGTGTGCTCTCCCCACACAGACTCCCAGCACACAGCGAGATCTGACTGGCAGCAGCAGCCAGGGCAGGCCAGCCGGGCAGCTGGGGCCCTCCCAGCACCGCAGTCACACCCCCGCCTGTTCCTCTGAGAGGCAGGGACCCAGCCCTGGAGTTGGGAGCCTCAGCTCCAGCCCCGCCTGGGTGACCCTAATCAAGCCACCGACACTGACTGAATCCCCTGCAAAGTGGGGCCGGGGGTCGGACCCCGTCCCCTGCTGTGCTGCTGGATTTGATTCTAAAAGTAAGCCATCCCAGGGCCACCGCCAGGGGCCACCCCCCTGAGGCTCTCTCATTCCCATCATTGTTCACGTCCCAGGAGCAGGAGAGTGCTCATTGGAGCGGCTGTCCATCCATTTGTTTACTCAACTCCTATTGGCCGAGCATCTACTGATGCCAGGCCCCGTGTCCGTCCGCAGTCATACGAGGGAATAAGACCCTCACCTCAGAGGCCTTGCAGTCAAGGCGGGAAAAGAACGTGAATAAAAGGATTCCTCAAATATATCATCACAAACCAGAGGACGTGGAGGGAGAAACGCGAGGGGTGAGGGCATGTGGACTGGCTGGCAGAGGGGTCCCTGGGGAAGTGGCTTCTGTGCTGAAAGTTAAAGGAGCAGGACAGGTTTGCAGCCTCTGGGGAATGGACCCCATCACACACAGGCCTTCTTGAGCCCAAAAAGCACAGGCTGGTGCTTAGGCATTGAAAGAAGAGACCCATAAGTTAGAGGGGATGAGGCTGGAGCCTTTGGGCAGTGGACAGCTCACGGGCCAGGAGAGGGCATCTGGCCGCCGCAGGGGCCTGGCACGGATGCCTCCCCGGCTCAGAGCCACACCCCACCCCACAGAGTAAACGGAGAGCGACCAGGAGGGCTTGTGAGTGGCCTCTGCGGGGATTCTCAGACGGGCCTCGTCACTGTCGCTGCAGAGAAAGTTGCCAGGATCAGCTGAGCCTCCTGTACTTCCAGGACCTCCAGGGGGGTCCGGAGCAGCCTTCCCGCTCCCCGGCTAAACACCGGTGCCTGTGGCTCTCAGGGCTCAGCGCAATGCCGGTCGCTCCGGACGGACTTAAAATGTGGGCCCAGCAGTCAATGATTCTCTCTCATCATTGATGTTTCTCTCTCTCTCCTTTCCCTTCCTCTCTGAAATTAATAAAAATATATTTTTTTAAAATGGGTGCAGCAGCAGAGGGCTGAGGGGGTGGGGGTTCTAAACACCACTGCCCACACACCACCTGGTGCTGTCAGGCTGGCATGGGGCCTGGTCTTGGCCCAGCCCTGCCCTTTAAGGCTGGCTGCATTTGCCTTACGGACTGGGTCTGCAGTCTTTGCTGTAGAACCAGGACGCAGCAGCTGGCAGAGTGCACCTCCTGGCCACAAGGAGGCGCTCAGGCTCCCGCCCCAGGCCTAGTTCCCTCCTCCTCTTCCTGAACTGCGTCCTTCTTAGTCTCCCCACCTTTAATCCGTTCCCCGGAGATGCCTGTTCTTCCCTCTCTGGTCATTGCACCTTGATTTTAAGGATTCTACCCCAACCCAGATTTTGGAGTGCCACTGAAGCTGAGGCCACTCTACCATACCCCACCCCTCCACCCAGGTGAGTAACCATGTGACCTAGTCCTGACCAATCAGTGCACTCCATCTTCCTGGCCTTAGTAACAGGTTGAGGGATGGGCACCTGACCCAAGGCATCCAATGAGTGTCCTCCTGGGGCCGTGCTGCAGTTATAGGGACAGGTGACTCTCTTTTGACCAATATTTCCAGGCTGTGGCAGGAAAGCATGGAGCCTGCCTCGGAATGAGGCCCACAGAGGAAAGCAGAGCCAAGGATGAAAGACAAATTTCTGATGACATCTCTTAAGCCCCTGGATCTAGCCATGCCTGAAGCTGATGTACCCCTAGGTTTTTTCATAAACGAGCCGACCCACTCATTTCTTCCCAAGCTGTTTTGAGGAAGGTTCTCTTTCAGTTTTTAAAAAAGTATATTTTTATTGCTTTCAGAGAGGAAAGGGAAGGGAGGGAGAGAGAGAGAGAAACATCAGTGAGAGAGAACCATTGATCGGCTGCCTTCTGCATGCCCCCAACTGGGTATTGAGCCAGCCACCAGAGCATGTGCTCTGGACTGAAATTGAACCTGGGACCCTTCCGTCCGCAGGACAACGCTGCATCCACTGAGCCAAACCAGCTAGGGCTCTCTTTCACCTTCAATCAAGAGTCCCAGCTAAACACCCACCCACCTCACACACCCTCTCAGAAGGCTTCATGACATCCCATCATTTACAGATTCAACCCCCCGTGACATTCAAGGCCCCCTGTGACCTGGCCCCAACCCCCTCCAGACTCAGCTCCTCCTAGATCCTCTGGCCTTGCTGGGCTCTTCCCCCTCCCCAGACATTCCCAGTGTCCCTTCTGGACTATGCAAATATGTCCCCGCTACCCTCCCTCTCCCCCCCTCCCTGCCCCCAACAAACTCTCTCTCAAGGCTCCCTCTTCTCTCGCCTGGCTCTTTGCTGGAACACCAGCCCAAGCTATAGTGGGTTGTGTCCACATCCACCTTCCTGGCTGACCTTGACCTTTCTCTGAGAGTGGGGGCCCTGACCAGGCTGCGCCGGAGGCTGAAGGGCCACTCGCCACACGCATGCACTGACCCGGCTGTGTTATCGTTAAAGGACTCCGCAGCAGCGCTGTACATACTGCGCAGGCGCGCCCCGTGTAGCCTGCTTGTGTTAATGAGCGCGAGCCGCACTGATGGGCAGGAGGCTCGTTCGTTGCTGCGGGTGTATAAGGTGCCTCTGACCACCAGTTGTTGGCTGCTTTGTTCGTGATAAAGCACGGCCCACCCGCCTGCGGTCACTCATGTGTTCTCCCACTTCCTGCACCCACGGGGGTCAAGTCCCTGGCTGAGGAGCTTGCACCCAACATTGAGGAGGAAGGCAAGGTCGTGCCCATTCCCACGACTGCCCACGGAAGCTGGACTCTGAGGGGGAGGGGGAGACAATACAGGGGTTTTGGGGAGGTGTTTTTTGTTTGTTTCTGAGCATGAGGCCATTTTATGATCATCCAATTTGTAAAAAAATAGAATGTGTGATACCACACTGTTGGCAAGACCGTGGGGAAGGGTGGGAGTGCAAACTGGTTCGCCAGCCGCGGAGGGGTTTGGCAGTGACCATCACAGCACTGCTTGATCCTTTACTCAGCAGCCCAGCTGCGGAGAGTTTATCTCGCTGATAAACTTACCCTTGGCCCAGCGTGGCAGGGCCTCCCTGGAGCTTTGTCTGGAGCCTGCACCCTCCCTCTGCACAGGGGCCGATGAGATGACTCCCAGCAGCCGGTTCCCACTACAGGATGGCCTGCAGCTGGGAGGGGGGCGGAGGCAGCTCTCTAAGGGCCCAGGTGCTGACAATCACCACGCTGGTTTCCGGGTTGCAAAACCGTGTGTACACGATGCTGTCTCTGTGTTTAGAAAACGGGCAGGTGGGCCTGGCTGGTGGGGCTCATAGTGGCTGAGCGTCATCCTATGAACCAGGAGGTCATGGTTGGATTCCTGGTCAGGGCACATGCGGGGTTGCAGGCTCGATCCCCAGTGAGCGGGGTCCTGAAGGAGGCAGCTGATCAATGATTCTCTCTCATCATTGATGTTTCTCTCTCGGAAACAAGAAGAAAACTAAAACAGAGGTTCC